TGTCTCTCTAAGTGAAAGAGAAAGCCTTTTTCAGAACCCCTGGTAGACTGGCCTCTTGAATCCTTATCCAAGAGCACCCACTTTCTCCCATCTAGTTACAAAGGTATTATGCTAAATTCTCCTCTTTTCCCTCATTCCTCTCATTCATTATGATCATTCCATTCTGGTTTTAAAATAGTTCCACTACTTCCTAGTATGGGCATTTACTACTATGAATTTCCCTCGTAGAACTACTTTCATTGTGACCCATCCATTCCTGTGTGTGGTATTGGAATTATTTAATTGTACAAACTGTCTAATTTCTTCTTTAATTTCCTCTGTGACCCAGTGGTTGTTGAGCAGGGTGTTATTTAGTTTCCATGTGTTTGTGAAATCTTGCAGCTTCTTAGGCTATTGATCTCCAATTTAATTGTACTATGGTCTGATAATATATAGGAGATAACTTCAGTTCCTTTGCATTTACTTAAGCACGTTCTATGAGCTACCATGTGATCTGTTTTGGAGAATGACCCATGTGCAGCCCAAAAGAATGTATATTCTGATTTTGTGGGGTGGAACACACTGTAGACTTGCATGAAGAATCAACATCTGAGATCACATTATATTAAAGTTTTTTTTAACAAATCCTCAGTAGCACGGGAACTAGCAGAAAGACTCAACAACTGGGATCTCATCTTATTAAAAATCTTCTGCACTGCAAAAGAAACCATCAGCAGAACTAAGAGACAACCTACAATGTGGGAAAAAATTTTTACCAACTGCTCCTCAGACAAAGGACTATTATCTAGAATATATCAAGAACTCAAAACAATCAGCCCCCCCAAATATAAAGACCCAATTCAAAAATGGGCATCTGAAATGAACAGACATTTCTCAGACAAAGAAGTAAAAGCAGCAAGTAAATATATGAAAAAAAATGTTCCACATCACTGGTCATTCGAGAGATGCAGATGAAAACAACACTGAGATTTCACCTCACCCCAGAAAGAATGGCTGCTATCAAGAAATCACACAATAACAAATGTTTGCAGGGTTGTGGGGAGAAAGGAACCCTTCTCCATTGTTGGTGAGAGTGCAGACTGGTTCAACCTCTATGGAAATCAATATGGAGATACCTCAAAGAGCTGGACTTAGAGGTTCTATTTGACCCAGCCATCCCTCTGCTGGGTATCTTTCCAAAAGAATTAAAAGAATTATATCACAGTGACATGTGCGCATCTATGTCTATAGGAGCACAGTTTGTAATAGCTAAAACTTGGAACCAGCCCATTTGCCCATCAGTTGGAAACTGGATAAAAAAGATGTGGTGGGCCGGGGATTTAGCTCAGCGGTTTGGTGGCCTGCCTTGCAAGCACAAGGACCTGAGTTCAGTCCCCAGTACCAAAAAAAAAAAAGAGAGAGAGAGA